CCCAACCCCCCCTCGCCTCCCACAGAGGGAAGCCACTGGGGCCCGTATGAGAGCAGTGCAAACACTACGAGTGTACGACTGTCGAGAAAGGATAACAATCCAGGTTCCGTATATCGCATATTGCAGTGACTGAGTGTGGCACAAGGCTGGAATGCAAAGCTGAGAAATGACCACTGGCGGATCCAAGGGGGGAGGGGGGGGGCGATGGGTGTTTTGCCCCCCACCCCCCTCCAAGTGGCACTAGTAGGAGTTGTTTTACTGCAGAAAACTTTCTTCGATACCCCTGGGCCTCCTCAGAAGCCCTTCTTACATTTCCTTCTTTGTCCCCTTCCCGCTCCCCCTAGTCGTCGCCGCAGTCTAGCACTAACCAGCGGGAGGCGGGGAAGGGGGAGGAGGGATAGCGGAGCGCCCGACATAGCGGCGACCGGGGGAAGGGGAGAGTGAAACGGGGAGGGGGAGGGGGAAGACTGCCAAAATCGCCTCTTTCCGCCAGGAGGCCGCCCTGGATCCGCCTATGGACATGACTGAACTTAAATGCGCCCCCAGATCGGACTCGGGGACGGACCCAAATGGCACTCTCCTAAATAATGCAAGAAAGCATGAAAAATGTAAGATTGATGGGTACCGTGAAGCCAAATGTTGCCATCGATGTGCTACTGTGCGTGTCCTTTCGGACTGAAACGGTGAAATTCGGTCAAACGCAGCCTGCTCATAATAACCATTGGTCGATGAATCAAATCCACGGGACAATTCATCTTCCTTAAAATGCACAAAATAAGCAAAAACACTAAAGGCCTGGCACGCCCAATTCTCGACTCCTTATGGATTAAGAATGGGGCTAACATAGAGTGATTCAAGCGCCTGCCATTCCATTGAATCGTCCACAGATTCAGCCTCCCCACAACAACCCTGAAAAGTGTCGCAGTAGAAATTACGTTTACAACATGTATTAAAGAACTGAACTCGCTGCACACGATTTTTTTTTTTCAAAAAATTCTGACTGATACAAGCATATTTAATTTAAAAAAAAACGCCAAAATGCATTTTTGTCGAAAAAAAGGGAATATTTTACTCAGTCGGGATGGTTGCAAAGAACTTATTCAAAGCCGGACTTGTTCGAATTCCGGAAAATTCCAAGATATCTAGAAAACGCCATTCTAAAGGACTGTTGTATGACAGGAAACATGGAAACTGCTTATTCGCTTCAAAAAACAAATTTATTTCTTTAAGTATTTCGATAAAGTTAATGGTTAGCAAGACAAAACTAACGTTTATTCCGGATCGCTCGGTTGAATCCATGAAAGACAGTGATCATTGAAACCACTCAATCTAATTTTCGATCCATTCCACCAAAGCTTCTGCAAAAAAAATGGATTCGAAACAAATCCACCGTTACGCAACGCAAAACATACATCCTAAAAACGATACCTCCCGGAACCCAGTAAAAAGACCGCCCAGACAATCGATGCGGTCCCGTGTTAGTGAATGTTACTGGGATATTTTCAAACGCCGAGCGCCATCTCTTTGGGGTGGCTCAAATACAACGCACAGGTAGTGGATAATGAATTCCGATATCCTGGGCTCCTCTAGTTATTATCCACCATCTTTTTGATGTATCTGAGCCACCTCTTCGGGGTGGCTCAAATACAACGAACAGGAAGTGGATAATAAATTCCGATATTTATCAGAGAGATAAGATGTGTGACTATCCTTGCCCAAAAGATTTTACTTGCTCGTGTGGTCATAATGATATCCTGAACGCACTCCTCTGACGATGCCTGAATGTCTTGAAGGGACGCCAGGCATCCTTCGCCAATCACACTCTTCGTCGCAATCAGTCTTTCAGTAACAGCCAGCGCTCGCTCATCAGCTTTCATTAGTGACCATATTTCGCATCTACTTCCTTCAACACAGAGGTACTGAAGAGGTGACCTTGTCCTTCTGTTCAACACTTTAAAGAAACAGGCGATGCGGTGAAATTCACGGTGTCCGGGCAGACCTTCTTAGTGCGATCTTCGGCTGAAAATTATGACGCATATTTCTGACTACGACCGATGTAGCTGTCAACTTTCTTCCAATTTAACACCACTTATCTGCTATTCCGTCACGGGCGTACAGGCATTTTGCATTCCTTCCGCCTTCGATGCGTTAATCTTTCCATGGAAAGAACTGATACTCCTTTGCCCATAATACAGCAGCATCTGAGCACCCACCACCACCATTTATCGTCTCCAATTCCTGAGAAAAGTGTAGTCCATGTGCTGGAGAATCCAGACTTGTTCCTCAGCTGCTGCTTATTGAGAAATCATGTTAGTCGGTTGACAATAATCTTCGTGAACAGCTTGGAAGCAAGAGAAAGTAGGCAGATCTGCTGGCACCTCATATATTCATTAATACCCTTTTGCGTGGGAAAAATTTTTGATTCTCTCCAGATGCTGGGCATACTTTTTTTAGCCAAGTACTGGCTAGGCGGAATAGCCACAGCCTTCCTAATTTCATGCTGTTCAAGTCAGGTGAGTTCAGTGTTAATGCCATCACTGCCGCGATTTCTTCCATTTTTCACTTCGCCAGCCGCGCACCTTACCCCGCTAATAAATATCGGAAGATTCCCCGCCTGGTAGCGGAAAATCTTACAAATGTTCAGCATGTCGCATTTATTCCACCCGTCATTCGACGTTTTTATACGTTTTGTGCTGTGTAACAGCAGTACAAAACGCATATTGTTACGGGGTTGTCTGTGTG